AAATTTATTGAGCATAAAGAATAAAAAGGAAAACAAATTTATTGAGCACAAATGGAAATAAGAGCATTAACTCAAAACACATGCGGACCATGCCCCTAGTATATAAAATGTTGATATACTTGGCATTTAAATATTTAACAAGAGCAACACGGCCAAGCAAATGAGCCAAATCTGGACTACCAAGATTCCCTAGTAGGTATCGCCTAATCAATGCATAGAGGGTGATGTATAGGGTGTTTACACATTGTAGAACATGAGGTAAGTGATGGGTCTCAAGCCTTTCCCATCACCATCCATCCATCAATTCAACACGTGGCAGCATTTATGATCATGTAGGCGTTTATTAGATTTGATATTAGTTCGTAGTCACATTTGAAAGGCAAAGTTGTGATGTAATCTCTTTTAAAAGTTTTTAACATTTGTCTAAAAAAACATAATAAATTGAAAACTTGTTGAAAAAAATATGGTCCAACGGCCAAAGCGGAAGCAAAAAAAAAAAACCAGAAATCGAGTATCATACTTGAGTGCTCGCACAACAATTTTGGTTAATAAATGTGGAGAGGAATGATCAACTCATGTAAGCACGTTCGATAACTACTAGAGTTGCCAAAATCAATTCCACGCCTTAAATCTCGAGTGAGGTAGAAACTCACTACCACTCCAACAGATGCGATAGGAGCAATCCAAACTCGATTATCACGCACAACTCTTTATCACTCAGGTACTTAGATCTCAAATGGGAAGGGGATTGTACTCTCTCACACCCTTTTTTTTTATCTCTCAAGAATAGCTCTCACACATTTCTTGTATGTGTTGTGTGTATTTATAGACCTTCACCCCTCCCTTTTTTATAATGAAAGAAAGTGCCCTCTCATGAAGAGGTGTAATTCCCTCATGAAGATGTATAACGCCCTCATGAAGAGGTGTAGCCTTTCCCCACCTCCCTTCATGTTGCAAGTCAAACATGAAGGGAGTGTAGTCCACTTGTGCATTCCCTCACACTAGGGATGCATCCTCATGTCTACATCTTCCACTCATCCTATATGTGAGAGGGTTATATGCCCAAACAAGAGTTGTCGCTCATTATCACATCATGAGTATTCTTTTATACAAAGGGAAAAATGTGGTGTGCGACCTACTGGAGCGAACTTTCTGTCAGAGAGAACCATACCAAATTTTCAATCAACTGGCATGAAACACCTCATCTCTCAAATACTTGCAAAACAAAAAACTGCTCCACTTGCCCTAGACCCGATTTGCCCACACCGGACTAAGTTCTCAACTAATCCCTCATGAGCCCAGCTCGAAAGATTATTTAGCACATTCGTACACGATCACTGTTAATCCGCGCGTAATGTGTACTATTTTCTTGTGGTACGAAAATAGAGTGTGATATCAAATGGTCTTCCCTTACAACATATATTATTTTACTCTGACCCCGACTATTGTCTCAGCAATGTCCCAGACGAGTCTCATACTTGACCCTAAAGAATACATGCCAAAGTGAATGATCGAAGTAAAGTATATCCTAATGCAGTCTAAGATCCATAAGGTCATCACGAGGCACCTACTTATTAGTCTCGCACAGTGGCAAAAAAAGGAACATGATCTTCTTTTTCGACACGAGTAGATGTTTTGGTCACTTATATAACACATGTGGTATGAATCACATGTCATGGTGGATCACATCAAATGTGTGTCAGAATCAATACCATGCAGGTTATAGTCTTTTCATAGCCATGCAACTGATCGTCACCTAGCACCCCACAATCACATGTATGTGTCAACTTGAACATATTGGATGTTCATCCCTAGCTACTTACAGGCTACATGATATTCAAGATGTCAATTTGAACTGATCATGTCAATTCCCTTATAGACTCTCACATCAAACCCTTGGTTGAAGCGATAAATACACCACGTGTATATCTCATCCTCCAATATCTCAGAAATTGAGGGTAGCTCATGCGAGTAGTGAGCTTTAGCCTGCTAACAAATTAAATGATAATCTCACACTATTGTGATCACGTGTGTATTAAAGTGCATAAACTATCCATAAAATAACATCCATATTTAATTATAACAGGGTACTAAGTGTAACATAAACTCATAGGGTCGTGAGTCCCATAGTTCTTACATGAGTCTGATGTGCGGTCCTGACAATTGCCTTAGTCATAGGATCCGCCACCATTTTAGTTGTAGGAATATGAGTTAGTACCACATGTCCATGTGCAATAATATCTCAAATATAATGATATCTAACATCAATATGTTTTGATTTTTCGTGGTATTTTGGATCTTTTGCCAAAGCAAGTGTTGTTGTATTATCACAAAATACAGTGACATGCTCATTACTAGTTGCACTGACGCCTAAGTTCCTTAGGAATCTTCTCAACCATGTGGCTTCTTGTACTGCTCAACTACAAGCAATATATTCAGACTCCATAGTAGAGAGAGTGATATAGGACTGCTTCGTGCTATACCAAGAGACTATACCACCTCCTAGCAAGAAGATATAACCTGAAATCAATTTATGCTCATCTAGGTGTAGTGCCCAATCAGCATCATTGTATCCCTGTAATCGCAAATCGGTTACTTGAAAACATAACATCTGACTTGAGGTTCCTCGAAGGTATTGAAAAATCCTCTTTACTGCTTGCCAATGACCTTATCCTTTGTTACTCTGGTATTAGTTAACAAGACCCACTGCATAGGCAATATCTGGACGTATGCAGAGCATCATGTATATCAAACTGCCAACTGCACTTGCATATGGAACACATGACATTTTGCTCATCTCAACTTCTATCTGTGGACACATGTCAAGACTTATAGTATGCCCTTTCTCAACTGGAGTATATATAGGTTTTGAGTGTTGCATACGAAATCGCTCAAGAATCCTTTGGATATGTATTTTTTATGACATAATAAGAAACCTTTGAGAGCGATTTCGATGTATCTTAACACCAAGTATGTAACTCGCCTCAGGCATGTCTTTCATCTCAAATTTGGAGAACAACTACTCCTTCGTAGCAACAAGTTGCTCCAGATCATTCCCAGCTAATAAAATATCGTCAACATACAAAGACAATATCTGGATGTTTTTCTTATACTTCTTAATGTATACACAATGGTATTTTTGAAGCATTTCAAAACCATAAGTCATTATAGCCCTATGAAATTTGATATACATTTGTCTAGATGACTGTTTAAGACCATATATGGATTTCTTGAGCTTACACACTTTGAGCTCAAGGCCAGAGGCTACAAAACCTTTATGTTGCTCTATATAGATCTCTTCCATCAAGTCACCATTTTAAAAGCAGTCTTTACATCCATTTGGAAGAGTTCTAGGTCCACATGTGTAACTATTGCTAGGATTAGGCGAATCGAGGTCATTCTCACCACCGGGGAGAATGTCTCATCTACTTCACTCTCTCAACTTGGGTGAACCCTTTCGCCAGTAAACGGGCTTATACTTATCTATAGTTCCATCTGCCTTCATCTTGATTTTCAAGACCCACTTGTTTCCAATTGATCTTCTATTGGGCGGCAGATCCACAAGTTCCCAGACTTGATTATGCTCTATAGAACTAAGGTCATCTTTCATAACAGATATCCACTGGTCCATAGTAGGAGAATTCAAGGCCGCTTAGAATGAGCTAGGCTCATCAGCATCAAGTAAAATGCACGTGAGACCCTCTACTTTGAAGTGTCTACGAGGAACTTTTTCACGTTGGCTTTTTCGAAGTTCAACTCGCGATCCACTCTCAATGGGTGTCTCTAGCATAGTCGGTGACTCAATATGGGTCATATGCTCATTCTCAATCAGTGGCTCACTCCCACTATCATTGGCAATCATGGGAAGACTCCCACTATTACCTTTAATGAAAGAACTATCTCAACGTCTGTATGAGATTCAGGCTCTTCAAACATACGAGACCGCTTCCTATTAGGGAATTTTGTCTTTATAAAATCTACATTGCGAGATTCTATTACTTTCATCCCACCACCATCATGTTCTTGACATAATACATATCCCTTCGAGTGCGTAGAATATCTGATAAAAATGCATTCAAGAGACCGTCTGTCTAGTTTCCCTATAAATTGAGAAGGGATGTGAACATGTGCAGTTAAATATCTGGCTTTCTAACTGTCCATAACTCATAAGGGGTATTGGAAATAGATTTTGATGACACTTTGTTTAAGACATATATCGCAGTGAGGAGTGCATCTCCCCAAAATGATATTGGGAGGTTGATGTGAGCCATCATAGACCTTATCATGTCCAACAGAGTACGACTCATTCTTTTTGCAACACCATTTTGTTGCGGTGTGTAGGACATCGTCTCTTGTCTTTGGATTCCCTTATTCTTACAAAGCTTCTTAAATTGATCAAATAAGTATTTTCGTCCTCGATCAGTACGAAGAACCTTAATTCTTTTGTTAAGCTGATTTTCAACCTCTAGCATAAAATGACGAAAGTAATCTATTGCCTGTGATTTATGCGAGATTAGGTATACATATCCATAGCGAGAATAATCATCGATAAAAGTGATAAAATAATGAGAACCGTCGCAAGCCATCTCATTAAATGGACCACAAATGTCAGAATGTATTATGTCTAGAAGATCAATTGCTCTTTTTGCTTTAGGAAAATGCTTTCTAGTTGATTTTCCAGCTATACATAATAGGTCGATTTTGGATACAGGCAACAATCATTCTTTAGCTAATCGGACATCTTATCTTTTCCTATATGAGTAAGTCTAGCATGCCACATTATGGAGTTGTATGTAATAGAAGATGTGAAAAAGGATGACGATGTCATCTAGGTAGAAGGAAGGGAGAAATTAATATCATTATTATCCAAAATAAATAAGTCATTAAAAATCTGGTCATAACAGTGAAAACCATCTGAAAATGTAATGGTAACATAATTAAGCATGAACCGATTAAGCAATCGTCTCTAACTAGATATAGAACTGAAAGCAAACTTTTTCTCATTCTGGGAGCATAAAGGACGTCATGGAGAAGAAGGGCCGTCCACTTTGGAATCGGAGTTCGTAAGTTTCAGCCCCTAGCACATCATTTGATGTGCAATTCCCCATGAAGATCTTCTGACTTCCAACTGCCAAAGTTTGGAGCTCAACGAACCTTTCTCGATCCCTTGTTATATGCCTTATCGCTCCTGAATCCACAATCCACCTAATAAATTGTGAATGAGCAACAAGCACTTGAGTGGAAACATTTGCATAACCAGGGGATTTAATTTGCATCTTTCTAGGTTCGGGACATTCACGTGCATAGTGGCCATTCTTCTCGCAATTGTAGCAAGTTATTTTGGATTTGTCCTTCATACGTCTCCTGCGTTTATGTCTGGCCTTTTTCTTTTCCTCAACCTCTTTCTTAGGTTGCTCATTCCTTTGATGTGTCCCATTTCTAAACTTACCTCGAGGTTTATGGCCTCGAGGCCTGTTGGATTGGGTAATTAGATCTGTTCCAGCTCCAGAAGATGAGCAGATTCAGCCTCTATCTCAAGGTGAAGAGAAAGTTGAAAAAAAGTTGTTACAACTTCATTATGCAGCATCAATGACTTTATATTTTTCTAATATTCTGAGAGAGACCTAAGCAATCCGAGCATCTATTGCTCGTGATCGAGTTTATTTTCAGCTGCCTCTAGATCATGTATCATTTAAGACATTTTTCGAACATGGTCTGCCATCGACACATTTGAAGGCATTTTGTATATCTCAAAAGCCATAGATAAGGCTCGTAACTGAGCAGCAGAACTGTCAGCATACTTCTGCTGAAGCGCATCCCACATGTCCTTTGCAGTGGTGAATCCATCGAATTCATGAATGAGGTCATCAACATAGCACTTAGCAAAGTAAAGCGAGTGCTACAGTCAGTATGGTCCCATGCCTCATATTCATAGACAAGTTCTTCAGCGGTACGTTGTTCAGGTTTTTGCTTAATGGTAGTCAAGTGTTCAAGTGTACATTGCTCATTTAGAAGGTATTGCATTTTTCGATGCCATATAGGAAAATTGCTCTCATTCAACTTTTCACATTTAGTGAGATCCGCAATCACATTTTTAGAAGTCATTCTAAGTCAAAACAACAAAATTGCACCAATTAATATAGATGTCACATGGTTTGTTTGATACATGATGGTACTTAAATTATGATTTTCTATGCTTGCTAATTGTCTAGCTACTTGAAAAAAAACTTGACCTTTAAAAGTCTTATTATGAAAATTTTGCGTGGCCACATTGAACTCTTGCTAGCAATCAATACCAAGTTTCTTTCTTGGATCTAGTATTTCAAATATCTCACAATTTGCAAGTGGTATACCTTTCTAGTGCCATTTTTACCAAAAAAAACAGTAAAGCCCACCATGCACGACTTAGCATATAAGGCTTATCAAGATTAGTTAGCCATGATCCTCATGGACTAGGATGCCTCAACTTGCATAACCCATGCATAAGGCCAATACGACTATGAAGATTGCATAATGCACATGCTTATGGTTTAATATAACCATTATGTGCGCTTTGCAACATCATAGGCCAACTATAGCCAAGCCTTCACAAGTAAGGCAAGAATGGTTATGCGAGCATAATTGGGAAACCGGTTCCACGATGACTTTGATACCAATGTTGAAAAAAATACGGTCCAACGGACAAAGCGAAAGCAAAATAAAGTAAACGAAAATCGGGTATATCATACCTGAGTGCTCGCACAACAATTTTGGGGAGCAAATGTTGAGAGGAGTAATCAACTCACATAGGCAATTTCGATAACAACTAGAGTTGCCCAAATCAATTCTACAACGTAAATCTCGAGTGAGGTAGAAACTAATGAATACTCCAACAGATGTGATAGGCACAGTCCAAACTCTACTCTCACGCACCACTCTTTATCACTCAGGGTCGGATCTCTACTTAGATCTCAAATGGGAGGGGGATTGTACTCTCTCTTACACTTTTTCTCTATCTCTCAAGAGGAGCTCTCACACCTTTCTTATATGTGTTGTGTGTATCTATAGACCTCCGCCCCTCCCCTTCTTATAATGAGAGAAAATGCCCTCTCATGAAGAGGTGTAACCCCCTCATGAAGAGATGTAACATTTCCCTAGCTCTCTTCATGTTGTAAGTCAAACATGAAGAGAGTGTGGTCCATTTGTGTGTTCCCTCACACTAAGGATGCACCCTCATGTCTACGAAAGTAAAATTATAGGATCGTGATTTTATAAAGTCGGGCCTTGTATGTCTCTCTGAAATGCAGTTTTGGTGCCGAGTGATATGCAAATCAATCATCTAGGGCTCAACAATCATTGATGTAAAACAAATTGGAACCCAAGTCTTACAAAGGTGTTTCGCTGTCCATTTTAATTGTTCAAAGGTTCGCCAAATCAGTACTATCTTTCGAACCTTGAATTTTATGTGAAAAGGGAAATTAAATTTCCTACAACAGTTTCCACCACTACAATTTGCATTTTCTCGTGGGAGTTTGAAAGTAAAAACTGACAAAAGGGTATGGTTTGTATAAGGCTCAACCTTAAACAATCAAAGTAAGATGTACATCCAAACTTTGTTGAAAGATCCAATGTATTTTTATATCTAATTATGAAATTTAAAACTTCAGCAATGAAGAAGATCGAGCATTTTTATAAATATTTGAAAGTCTTGAAAATAGACAGTGTAAATAATGTGCTACAAGATACACTATTTATTTAGGAAAGGGGTTGAGGTCGTGGTGGTAACGTCTCCACACCCAGTTACCACATCTTGATATCCATTCCTACTACTGACAATTCCAATTGACACTTTCAAAATATAACTCCCCAATCTATTGAAAAAACGGGGTTTGAGTTGGAGTGGTAGCATCACTTGTGCCTCAGTTAAGGTCTAGACTTCCATTCTCACCTAACGCATTCAAAAACCACTAATGATGGGTAAGGGCTTGTCAAGATAAGTAGAGGTTCCAGTGTCAAAAACAAAACTTTGCAATGGATTTTTGAGGCATGCCTTACTTTTACATTGTAAAAATGTTATCAGCAACCCAACAAACTCAACCTAAAATTGATCCTTGGCAAGTAAAGATGTAATCATCCTTACTTGAAAAATAATCCCTACATATCTTTTGGCGGAGGACCATATGTTTACATGGTCTCTACATGCCACCAAATCTTTTCCCTTTAACGTAAACGCATATGTTATGATGGTAGTTTGGGACTTTTACGACCTAAAAAATTTTAAATTAGAAAAAAGTTTAAATAAGGTTGCAACCTTAAAATGTAGATCTAAGATGAACATCGAAAATCCATCATAAAAAGTTGTTTGGATGTTGGAAAATTGTTTAATCAATCATCTCAACATTGAGATGTATGAATATAAAAAGAAAGAAAGATTTCGAATCGGGGAAATTGTGTATCGTGCAACACATTATCTGGACCATCAATTTTCAAGATTTTCATGTGTTATAGATCTACTTGATTTGAACCATTTTTAAAATTTTAAAATTTATAATTAGAGATGAAAATAGATTCTCAAATCCATCTTGAGAATCTTTTATATCAAAATTATATTTATGACAAAATTTAGAAGTGCGCCTTAAATGGATTGTTTAAGGTTGCAACCTTATGCAAATCACACCCTTTAAATTATCCATGATTCACCTTGTTAAAGATTTTAGAAAAAGAATATTTTAAGTTCTGTGTTCCCTTAATTTTAGATTTTTCAAAATAGGAAAAAGTTTATATAAGCTTGCAACCTTAAAATGTAGAATTACATGTGCACCTCAAAAATCTATCGAAAGTATCGTTTTAATGTTGAAAAATCCTCTCATTGATCATCTCGACATCGAGATGTATGAATATGAAAAGGAAAAATATTTCGAGTCCTAGAAATAGTGTATCTTGCAACAAATTATCTCGACTGTCCATTTACTAGATTTTCATATGGTTATAGATCTACTTGATTTGAACCATTTTTAGAGTTTAAAGTTTGATAATTGGAGATGAAAATAGATTTTCAAGTTATCCTAAGGGTTTTTTATACCAAAATTATATTTATAATAAAATTTAAAAATATGCCTTAATTGAATTGTTTAAGGCTGCAACCTTATTGAAACCCCACTTTTCAAAATATGCACCTCCTAATGTTTTATTTTTTCTTTTTTCTTTTTTGAAAGGATGCAGTTTCTATTGGGCTGCAGCCCTATTTATTGGAGTTGGGCAGTTGGAAGACAGAAGGAGAGAGAGAAGTAGGCAGAGAGAGCAGAGAGAAAATCAAGAGTACAAATGTAATGAATCTTCTAATTTGTCAAAGAGATTGAGAGGGATTTAAAAGGGGGAGAGAGGCATAGAGATAACCAGGGAGCAAACATAGAGGGAGAGAGATTCAGTGGGAGGGCACAAGGTTTACATAATAAAAGGAACAAAAAAAAAAAAAACTTAAAGGTAGGAGTAACTTGGGATTTGTCATTCATTGGTCGAAAGCATACGGACCGTCCAAATTAATGGATGGTGTGGAGGCTGCAGACCGTGCTATTGTCGTAGTGCTGCAGTCCTATCAAAATATTTTCTTTTTTGAATAAAGTTAGAAGATGTATGTGATGAGGCCATTTATTTTTTATGCTAAAAGATCACAAACATTATCAACCATTGGATGTAAAATTAGATGAGTCGTGATGCACAACACAAAATCCGAAACAATTTTTTTCGAAAGTTATAATACATTTTAATATGTTAGATTTCACATCCAATACCTAAAAAAAGTTGTGACCTACTTGTACAAAAATAAATAAATAAATGGTCTCGTGGATATATGGATGATTTGAGATTTTGAGGATCCAACTCATCAACCTTAATGGTTGCACCTCCTAACCGTCTTCCTTCTATACCACGCAAACAAATTGGGGAACACTTTTCTTTTTTCTTTTTAGTAAATAAATGAGGGCACGTTTTCATACTATTTATGGAACAATCACTTTTAGTTGACAAATGTGAAATTAGGTAATTGAAAATAAGTTCATAAACTTATTTTAAAGCTTAAAGGTTTGAAGTTGATCCAAATATCAACTTCAGACCTTTCAGAGTCAGAAGTTGATGTACACGATAATTAATGTCTCAAAATACTTATGTCAGAAGTTGATGTACACGATAATTAATGTCTCAAAATACTTCTGACCTCAAAGGTCCAAAATAAGTTTCGGTAAAGTCAAGATCTTAAGATTCAAGACTCTATTTGTTGGAGTAAATTTCGGACAATGACGATCCAAAGCAGGAGGCAATATGGAAAAAAATAAAACGAATTGAAAAAATGGGGTTTGAATAAAAAAAAAGAAAATTTGATGGAAATATTTTAAATAACAAATATCTAAATGGATATCTACGCAATATCCCCATAAATTACTATTATTTAATGAAACCCCCTTAAAAGTTCAATATTAAATTCATATACCTATTTTATTCTTTTGTTTCCCAGAGTGTTTGTGTTCTTGACCTAGAAGGTCCTAATTTCAATCTTCTTTTTTTTTTACTCATAAATTTATTTCGAACCTTGAAAATCAAAAGTTATTCTAAACATCAACATCGGACCTTGAAAGTACTAATTGGTTTTGTTCACATACACCAACTTATAGGCTTCAAGGTCTAAAGGTGATGTACAAGATAGTTAAGTTATCAAATCAACTTTGGACTTTGAAGGTGTAAAATCTCAAGACCCTAATTTCAGGATATTGAGATTTGAAGCTATAGTTATAAAGCTAAACTTTGGACCCTATGGGTCCGAAGTGTAAAAAATTTGGGGAAAACTAAAATAATTGAAGTGGAAATGTTGAAATGAAATTTTTGGGGGCAACTTTCTAAATAATGGATATTTGGGGGTGATAGTCAAATAAATTTCTCCACAAATTATTTAGTATCCCATTGGTCCCAGTGTTTCTCAAGGGGTATAGTACAAAGTCCACCATGAAATGATGCACAAGTGCCCCCTAACAGTTCATATTAGAAGGCGACGACATCAATGACCACGATGTAATATGGTATTCTAATTTTAGTTTATATTTCTATTAATTGATTAATATGAAAATTTGAAGGTATTCATTCGAGGGAAATTTTTTTTAAATTTATTTTTTGTAAATTATATTTTATATACATTTTATGCGCTCCACGTTGATAATTTTGGACGTCTAAAATTTAAAATTGATCAAAATTCCATAAAAAATAACATAAAGTATTACATGCAATCGCGACCACTCATTTCTTTTCTTTTGGTAGCAACCCTTAGGAGGGTGCTTTCACTCGTCAATCATCCATGTGTTCCTTTTCAAGGCCAGTTTGAATTTTGAAACTAGTTCCTACGGTGTTCCTTACAATAGCCTCATATTTAAAAACGTGGAGAAACGCATGTATTGTTTTAAAAGTTTAAAATTGCTACAAATATGAACACAAATATAAGAATTTTATACTAACGATATAGAAAGTATAGGATTCAAACCTATATATCACAACAATAACTAATTTAAGCAACAGATCCATTATTTATTTAGTCCATATAGTGTCTAAAATATCAAATACAAATATATATATTTTGAATCACATAAGTAAGGCATCAGCTTGCTCTTGTATGCTTCATCCACATGCCGCTCTTCGGTAAGTGCAACTCCGACCACAAATGTAGGACATAGAACCCCGATCATAGTGTGGATCTGAGTAACAAATCCATTATTTAACCAATAAAAAGCGAATATTTAACCACTGTAAGTGTGCCATATAGTTTCTAAAATATCAGACATAAATATATATTTCGATGTCATATAAGCAGGGCATCAGCTTCCTCTTGTATCAGCTTCCATGCTTCATCCACATGCCGCTCTTGAGTAAATGCACCTCCGACCACAAATCGTAGGACATAGACCTCCCCAATCACAGTGTGGGACATATAGGCGTGGCCGGTTGCATTAACGGCCTCGAGTAATGTTGCATTGAGCTCCGATCCGCCGCTCACCAACCGAAAGCACACTAATGAGAACATCCTCTTTGCAACCACCTCGAACCTTATGTCCCCTAGAACCAACATCTCAAACCGCCTTGCCAATGCCACATCGCTCCGTATGTGGCTCTGCAACCTCACCGCACCATGCCTCCGCAGCACCAGCCACAGTCGGATTGCCCTGAACCTTCGATTCAGGGCTATCTGCCAGTCCTTATAGTCCACTACACCATTGTCCCGCACCCATGTACAACAGCAGTCCATGTAGGTCAAGAGCCACTTGTGTGGGCTCATGCTGAAAGAATCAGCGAGCTCTACACCGTTGAGATAGTGTCGGAACTCAGGACATATGCCCGCGTTGCCGGCGTATGCCGCATCGACATGGACCCACACCCGGTACTTGTTTGCCACATGCCCGAGTTCCTCCAAAGGGTCCACCGCAGCAGAAGAGGTGGTCCCAACGGTGGCGCACAAGAAAAAAGGGGTGAGCCCAGCTGCCACATCTGCCACTAGCGCGGTATCAAAAGCTCCAGGGGAGAGGGCAAAGTCAGAGGCTGCCGAAGTTAGGAGCACCGGAGGTTTTCCGGGGAGATGCCCGGCTGCCTTCTCGAGGGCTGAGTGGGTCTGGTCAGAACAATAGACAACTAGCTTGTTTATATTTGGGGGGTTAAGCTCTTCAAGAGCCTTGTTTCTGCGGTAACCAGCGCGCAGAGCACGGCCTCGCTTGCACTTCCATGTATGACACCACCCCCGGTGCCGGAAAACGAAAAGGATTTCGGCAACGACAACATTCTCCCCAACCAATCAGTGACCACAAATTCCAACTCTGTGGCCGCAGGGGAGGTGATCCAGCTAAACCCAACCACATTGAAGGCCGTACATAGCATCTCGCCCAAGAACCCTGCAGTGCTGCTGCTCGCTGGATAGTACGCAAAGAAGTTGGGGCTCTGCCAGTGAGTCAGGCCAGGGATGATGTATCTCTTGACATCTTCGAGGATGGTTTCGAGGCTTTCCGGCAAATCAAGGGCATTTTCCGGCAACTTATTCAGGAGATAATTGGGCTCCATTTGGCTTCTCACTGGGTATTTCTCCACTTCTCTATAATAATCAGCTATGAAGTCCACAACTACATGGGCTTGCTCTCTCAATTCCTCTGAATCTAATGGGTTGAAGTCCAATTGGAGGCCATTAGAGCAACTAAAGCTATCCATTTGGAGGTGGAGGATGGCATGAATATGTGGCAGTGCAAGGATCCTAACAAGAACTATATATATAGCGTTAGTGGACATAGCTCGTGCGCACATGGCGATCGAGTATCGTCACGAAAGTTGTTGGCTATCACATGATTCAAACATTTAAAAACAACACTACTTCCTACCCCCTTTTATTCAATTGAGAAACATAAAGCTAACTTTTGGCATTTCCTGTAGCCGCCACATCATGCAACGACAATAAATGCTTATGCATTTAATTATTGTAACTATGCAATAAAATAAAACATTCATTATTTCTATTATATTTTTTAAATTCAAAATTTTACTTAAAATTCAAAATAAAATTTAAATTTATAATTTTCTAATAATAAAAATTGTAATTTACAACTCAAAATCTAGTATTATATTTTTATGATAAGTATCTGGTAACTCTAAAGCAAAATTTTTTATTTAAAAAGGTACTTCCCAATCAGTCTTATACTCAATCGTGGAAACTTATCGAAAAAATATCTCTATACTTTTTATTTTTAGATTTCATTTCACAATAGATCCAAGGTTTTAAAAGATATCTTGAAACATAAAAATTATTTATTTTTTTTCCACTAACCCCCAAAGCTAATTTAAACATGTTCAGTTTTAGGCCGACCAAATCTAAAAAGATATATCTTTTCTAAAAACCATGCACCCAAATTTCTCTCTCTACATCTTTCCCATCTCTCTCCCGTCATTCTCTCCTCCCACTCTCTCCTATCACTGTCTCCTCCCACTATGTCTTTCACATTTCCAGAGAGAGTGAGAGACGTAGGAAGAGAGAGAAAGAGAGAAGTTTGAGGTATATAAATGAAGAGTGAGAAATGATTGTGTTGGATTTCATGGAGGTGAGAGGTTATCAGGAGGAGAGAGAGGTGTATGGAGAAACACAGGAGGAGAGAGAGGGTGAGAGACGGGAAGAGAGAGAAAAAGAAAAGTTTAATGTGTATAAGTAAAGAGAGAAATGATTGAGTTTAGAAAGAACATGTCTTTCTCACATTTGTTCAGGCTAAAAAATAGGTTTAAAATGGTTGGGGGGTTACAAAATATCTTTTGAACCTTTGGGTTTATCAAGAAATGAAACCTAAAATAAAGAATATGAAGATATCTTCTCAAATTTATACTATGAATGAATACCATAAAGCAAACTTTAGGTTAAAAGACCATAAGATTCTTTTTTAAGAATAATAAGATGTTTTGTTAATTTTATAGTTTCTTTTAATTATAGGCAATTTAATAAATATATTCCTTTAGCCAATGACCCAGATTCAATTTGGCCTGATCGGACGGTTACAATCTCATTTCGTATTTTAATTTTAATTTCTTTATCTATAAATCCAAACCACTTGAACTTTTAGAAGTTCATTCTTATCATCAAGACGCACCTAACAAAAATATAAAAAAAATAATTCGTGAAACATAAATTGACCAAAATACCTCCGAAATGTTTTTTCTATTTATATCTTGTGAATTATTATTTTTGTATTTTTATTAGATTATTCTATTTTTGGAGAATAAACGCTCCAACTTTTAAGTGATTTGGATTTGTAGAAAAAAATATTAAAATTCAAACACGAAATGAGATCATGATCGTCAGATCGGCCCAGACTATATATATATATATATATATATATGGAAAACACTACGCAACACCTATAGGCAAAAATGAACAGTGATTTCACCTACCTCCATCAACTTCCAAAGTTCATCGCGCGGTCACGATTGTTCAATAGTG